AAGAAATGCAAAGGTTTCCATGGGACTGAACCAGCCAAAACAATGCCTCAGCAGTTCCATGGAAGGAAAGCTCCTCTCCAGTACCCAAACTGGGATACAGGGAGATAGCCTCCTTGTTCCAGGTGTTAGTGGTTAAACAGAAGTGACTTTCCAGAGGTGCAGCTCCCCATGGCTGGGCAGAGCTGGCACAGATTGGACAGAGGGGTGGATTTGTCCCTGTCCTTTGGGGCGAACACTAGTGTTTGCCAATGCCACTGCAGCTTGGTCAGCTGTACCACAGAGCTGGGTCCAGGGATTCCCCACTGGTCACAGCCAGAGGTGACTGGGAAGAGCTGCTGTGCACATATACAAAGCTAAAGGACACTTTCTTTGCGCTACTGATCCAAGAAAGCACTCCTGAGTGAAGACAACTCAGATAACAAGTAATTTGGGAGCCAAAAGTATAAAAAAACAATAAATAGGTATATAGAAAGAATGCTCCCAAATTCCCTCCAATGAATTTAGGGAAGACAGTCAATAAATGCACACTGTGTTTCTTCCATTATTTCAGTCAGCCACAAACTGGAATGAAGACAGGGCCCTCCTTAATGCCAGGTTAATCTGAGCCTGCTGCAAACCAGGGTAGGGTTTCTACACTGCAGCAGAGGAAAGGAATGGAGAAGCCTTGCAGGCATCCTGCACATCCATCATTCCCAGGAGCACTACTCTACTCTTCTGCATCTCTTACTGTCATGGTTTGAGCCAGGATGAAACCTTTACCTTTTCACTGCCAGTTGTTCTGCTACCACTGCTTTAGCCAACTCCACAAGGCATTTGCTGCCATCCATGAATCAATGTAGAGAGAGTCTTGGCCACCCCTCTTGCTCGGCCATGTCCAAAGCCAGCTGGATGGCTTTGACATCTGCAAATGGACATTCTCCTGCTTGTGTAACTAGTCATGTAGGACTCCACATGGCAGCTTTCCACTTTCCTACAAGATGACAGGAGGCATCGGTGAAGAGAGCAAGTTGTTTCTCCATCCTTGGTAGAGGAACATACGTTGTAGCTTCTTGAGCTTGTCTCACCAGTTCTTGTGGTGGCATTCCAAAGTGTGTGCCTTCTGGCCAGTTTATAATTGGTTCTACAATACCTGGACAATTAGGCCTTCCTATTGGAGCTCACTGGGTAAATAAAGCAGTCTATTTACTCCAAGTCGCATTGGTGGCATGATGGACTACAGTCTCTGCCAAGGATGCACGGAGCATCTGGGCCAGTCACTACAGGGTGCATTTGCCGCTCCTTACCAGCGAGGCTCACACTGGCCTCCACAACAGGCAGTTGTTCAGATCGTCCCATCACTCCAGAGATAGTGACAGATTCTGTCCCTTTATGATGCGATGGCATTAGTGTGCACTGTGCACCAGTGTCCCCAGGGCTTTATACTTCTGTGGTTCTAATGTGTCAGGCCACCAAATCCACACAGTCCAGTAAACTCAGTTGCCCCTCTCCTCCTCCTGCCTGGAGGCAGGGCACCTCTAATACCGAGAATTTGATCTCAATCCTGGTGGAAGGAAGGACTGGTCACTGGAGATTGGTGCAGCCTTCTTCCTGGAAGGATCATCTCCTGCATTTGTTCTATTTAGCAGCTCTTGTACACTTATCGGGAGAATAGCAGTGTGTTTATTGTCCCAGGTTCTCAAGTCCTTTTTACAATAATAGGGCAAGAGAGACCACAGGTGGCATCGCAGTGGGTCCTGTCTTTCTCGCTGCTGTCTCATAGCAGGACTTCTCTTAATGCCTGCAACACATGACATCTTGTCTCTAGGGAGATACTGGGGTCTCGCTTCCCATCTGTTCAGCATCTTATTATTTCTGTCAGTCATTTGTTCAATGGCTGAGGTGTGGAACTGATGGGGATTAGAGATCATGTCTCCATACTGTTGTGCTTTCAAAGCCAATTCACACACAGCTGGTCTTCCATAGTCATCAAAACATCCCATGAAGGAGAATACATGGGCACATGCTGCTGGTACAGCCTGCGCAAACTTCCGGAGCATGGGTGTGTCACACAGGATGTCATCAGGATATAACCCTTGTTATCACAGATCACCTCTCACACAGCTAATTCTCTCAAACACATGATGGCTCTCTCAAGAGTGGGTGTTCTGCTTCAGCACCATTCAATGTCACCCTTATGGGGGTATCTCTCCCTTACACCTGAAAGAAGTCAGACTCACAGGGTGGTAGTTCCTGTCTTACTACCAAGTGCTCTATCAATACCAGCATCTCTGGCCGGAGGTCCCAACTGCTTGGCTTCTCTTTCATCCACATCAAAGCATCGGAGCAAGCAACAAAGAAGTGGCTCACTTTCACTGCAGGTGAAGCCCTTTCTCATGAGGCACAGTTCCTTCAGAGAGAAAGGTTGGACAAGATCATCGTCATCATCTGCTTGAGAGCTGCCTGCTTTTCTATCTGCTTGAGAAGGGCCTGCTCCTTTATCTGTGTTAGAAGTGTCTGCTCCTTCAATTACATCTTTTAACATCACTTTTAAAAAGGAGTCCTCTACTGTTAAACATGCTCTTGTGGTTTCAGATGGCTGTTTCTCTGCTTTGCTCCTTGTCACAGGATTAACTTTAACTTCTGCTTGTTTGGATCGAGTGGGAGTGGCCTTGGTCTTTGCAGCAGCAGCAGTGGTGGCAGCAGCTTTGGCTGTGGGGCAGTGGCAGTGAGTGGAACAACACCTCACCCTAAGCATGCACCAGTACATTATAAACATTCAGCAGAAGCATCCCTACTGAAACAATGCTATTTAGATCAAGAGCTGGGAAATACAGCCTGAGAGAAAACAGAGAAGTAAAACTGACCCTGCTACTGTCATTACCAACATAGACCTTTCTGTTCACATGAGGATTTGTTCTGTACACACACAGGGCCACCATACAGATCAGTATCAAAACCCCTGTGATCAGTAGATAGGTTATTACATGGTTGATTATGACTGTACTCCTGTTGATAAACCATTAAACAGTAATTAGAGCAGCTACACAGAGCAGTATGATCATGGCTGCATGCCACATATACAATTACAGGTTGGGAAAAAGGTCCAGCAGAAACATTGCAGAAAATGTCTGTTCAGTTTTCAACCTGTCAACATATTCAGCAGAGGTGTTGTCCATTGCTGTCTGAGGGATTCCTCCCATCAGAAGTGGAATTCTAAATGTTCACCAATGAGTGAGATTTGTAGCCTGGGCTAAAGATACAGCCCCATCTTGGGCACCAATAAATTAATGTCCAGGTTTGAGCCAGGATGAAGCTGTTTTTCTTTTTACTTTTTTTTTTCTTTTTTTTTTTTTCTTTTTTTTTTTTTTTCCAGTAAGCTCTCTTTTAACTAGCAGCAAGTTTTCCAGCTAGTGGACTAATAACATTGGAATGGTTATGTTACTGCTGAGACATCAAGGACACTTTGCTCTGCTTGCATGCTAAAGCAGCAGAGTCGTATCTGCAACCTTCCCGTAGGAAGGAGTGGGATAGATAGACAGCAAATTTGGCTAGAGATATTTTGTACAAATATATACACGTAAGACTCAATATAAGGTCAGGGATCACCAAAGTCCAGCCCCTTCCTGTTTCTTCCTCCCTTCTCTCCTGTCCATGGGCAGCATCCAGGGAGGACTCCGTCCATTGACCCCCAGGCCCATGCATCCCTGCCCCTCATCACTCACCTCTCAGCTCCTGGCAGCTCTGGGACATTTCGGAGCTGCTCACAACTCAGGAGATGCTGGGGGAGCTCCTGGGGGTAGGGGGAGTCAACAGAGTTTTGCACATTCCTGAACACACTTGTATAACTGTACATATTTTCTTATTATTAGTATTTAATTAAAGCTGTCTAGTTTAGTTTTCAGTCCGGAAAGTCTCTCCTTATTCTTTCTCCTTTCCCTATGTGGGTGGGAGGGGATCAAGAGCATAATTGTTGCTGGTTTAATTGCTGTTTGTGAGTCAAACCGTGCCACTTAACCACACCACAGGCACAGACCAAAGCCAAGTAGCAAAGCAGACTGGGATGCAGAGGTATTGCTGACTGGTTCATGGAGAAGGTCCACTGCTGCTGGGGTTGTAGGTGTTTTTTTTCTGGCATGCACAACTGGAGGAACACAACTGGATCTCCTGAGGCTCTAGGCCAGATGTAGAGAGGTTACGTAGCAAAGCCAAGCAAAATCTCAGGTGGCCTCAAAGATACAGCTCCAGCATCAAAGAGATGTTGTGCAGCCTCTGTTGTCTCCTCCAAGGTTTCTTCTTCAAGCAGATGTATACCATTCTCAGCTGAGCATATCTCATAGCACTGCCTAGGCAGCCTCAGCTATTCCTGCCCTGTCCAGCACTGCCAAATATTGTCCTGGATTCCCCATGTCCCTGTTTCACACCATTCCTCACCACTTTGTGTGGCCCCTTTGAAGCAGCCGCAGGTTTTCCACCCGCTTCCACAGAAGCTGAGTCAAACACATGCTCTCCCCATTGTGGTCAGGCTTACAATGAGGTTTCCCAAGTCCTCAATTGCTGGGCAATAACTGCTGGTTTGCCCAAATACATCACCCTGTGTCAGAATGAAGAGTTTGCTGTGCAGAACCCAGCACAACAGGCCCTGATCCCTACCAGGCACATCACCAGGATAAATATTATGGACAGCAACTGCTCTGTGATCCACAAGCAGAGCAGACACCACCACTTCAGCTGTAATTTCCCCAGTCTTCTTGAAATGGAGAAGTTCCAAGGTTTTTCCTGACTTGTGCAAAAGGTTAAAGCTCAGCTCTTCACCCTTGGCAGGGGGTGTTAGCTGTGGTCATGGCTGTCAGCAAACAGCGCACGGCTGTCCTCCCTGAGCCCTGGCCACCTCTGCTGTTACAGCTTTTTACACCATTACAGTTGTAAAAGCACTGTTGGTGGATTTTAGTGTGTTTTCTTCTTCCATCTCCTTTCTGATGACCCAATTATACATCTCTCACACCAGCTTTTTCCTCTTTTCTTCATTGGATGATGCCTGCAAATGTGTTGATAGGCAACAGAAGAGACTTGGGCATGTATTTCACAAGTCCCACATCTTCTGTTTCAGGCAGGCTAAATTTCATTGCCCTTGTCTTTTGCAAGCAGTAGCTGGGCTCTAGGCAAGGAGACACTTCCACACTGCAAGAGCACAAGAATATATTTATTACACATGTGAATCTGCCCTTGAGGGCCAGAGTCTGACCTCAGCCTAAACATCATGTCTCTCCACTGGTAGCTGAGGAAGGGTTGTCATACTGAGATGTGCAGTTGCTTTTATGCTTTAACAACTGATGTGTATTAGTGTTTGACCACAAAACCAGTGCTCTTCGCCTGCCTTGGTTAGATTCTCAGAAATTTGCATTTTATGTATTTATATGTATTATGTATTTGTATTTATATGTATATGTATTTATATGTATTATGTATTATATATGCATTATGTATTATGTATTATGTATTTATATGCATCCAGACAGCTAATAGACCATGAACCACAGACCCTCTCTCTTCACTTCCAACATATCATATGTCACTACAACTATGAGACACACATCAATCTCTGCTGTTTTCACAGGACTGCATTCTCTCCCTGGCACCATGATGTGTTTCAGACACTCCAGTGAGAAACGCAGTCAGTGCAGCATCAGTTCCACTATGTAATTAAGGAGATTCTAGAATATCTCAAGTTGGAAGGGACCCATAAGGATCATCAAGTCATACTCCCTGCTCACAGGACTACTGAAAACAAAGCCATAGGACTAGGAGTGTTGTCCAGAAGCTCCTTGAACTCTGACAGCCTTGGTGCCCTGGACACTTCCCTTGGGAGTCAGTTCCAGTGACCAGCCACCCCCTCACTAAAGAACCTTTTCCTAATGTCCAATCTGAACTTGCCCTGATGCATCTTCAGCCCATTTCCTTGTGTCCTATTGCTGGTCTCTAGAGAGAGGAGATCAGCACCTCCTCTTCTGCTGCCCCCCTGGAGGAAGGTGTGATGAGGTCCCCCATAAACCTTCTCTTCTCCAGTGGAACAAACCAAGTGACCTCAGCCACTCCTTGGAACTGCTGCTCTCAAGACCTTTCACCACGCTGATTGCCCTCCTCTGGGCACAGTCTAATAGTTTCATGTTTCATCTTGAGGTGCCCAATACTGCACACAGTGCTCGGGGTGGGGCTGCACCAGGGCAGTGTAGACTGGGACAATCATCTCCCTCAACCAGACAGCTCTGCTGTGCTGATGCATCCCAGGACATGGCTGGCCCTTTTGGCTGCCAGGGTACACTGTTGACTCATATTCAGTTTGCCATCAACGCAAACCTCCAGATTTCTTTCTGTGGGACTGCTCTCCAACTTCTCATCCCCTAATTTGTACATATAACCAGGATTACCCATCCCAGGTGGGGAATCTGGCACTTGCTCTTCTGGGTTGATGACTGCCCAGCTCTCCAGCCTATCCCAATCTCTCTGTAAGGCCTCTCTACCCTTGAAGGAGTCCACAGCTCCTCCTAGGTTAGTGGCATTGATCTCGGTGTCTAAGATCTCATTTTGTCCCTGGAGGTAGAATTATAGAATGTCAGCTCTGTTACCTTGGAAGCCTTTCCAGGGATGGATGCAAAGTCACCAATGAAATGCTCTGAGCCTGATGTGCGGGGCATTCTCACCTGATCACATTTCTGTAGGTTCTTCTGCTGTCCTTGTCCAGACACACAGTGAAGGGCCTCTGCTCTGTGCTCCTGATTTGGATGTAGCGTGTTTTCAACCTGTTTGCTACAGCCTGGATGGAGAGAGAAGGAAGAGTCCACTGAGTGTCTCATTCCCCTTCCTGAAGCAGCACGGTGATGGGTCATGTGTGCCTACTGGGTATGTAAGGGACAGATTATGACATTTATCTATTTTCTTCAGTCCCATCTCCTGCATATCGACCTTTCTCAGTTGGTAATTAGTTTCACTGAAGTTCCTGTTTCTTGTTTATGCTTTGTTAAAATATTTCTCCAATGGTCTCTGTTCTGGTGAGCTCTGTGGGGATTAACCCATGGGCTAGAGAAGGCACTGCAGCTGGAGGTGTGAAACCAATGGAGTTGATCACAAAACTACAGACCTTCACCTGCACCCAAGTGGAGCCATGATGCCAGGGCTAAGCCTGATTTCTCCACTTGTCCCTGGAGTCACAGAATCAGCCCAGCAGCAGCTTAGTCCTTCAGGTCTCAATGTGTCATTGACCAGCAGGGATGGTATCTGTGGCTTTGGCTCAAAAATTTAGACTTTTCTATGGAAAGTAATTGCAAATCTCTGAGCAGGGTGGCCCCAAAGCCTTCTCCTCCCCACAGTGTTTCCCTTTCACCACTGCTGAAAAGGATTACCACACATTGGCCAAGTCCTCCACTGCCATGTGCATCCACAGCTACTTACTGAGAATGATCGTCCTGACAAGTTGTTGATCTTCACGATTTCAGTGATGTTCACATTCAGACACACCAGGTCTGTAACAGAGACAATGTGTTAACCTTAGACCATGGCAGGACCTCAGCTCAGCTTTGTGTGGGCCTGGTGCCAGACCTGCATTTGAGTGCACTGCCAGGGGTCTGTGGGATACATAAAGCAGCAGAAATGGGATCATGCTCACGGTGGAAAACACAGAGGCTGTGCTAAAGGTAAGATGAAAGAGGAAGGCTGCAGCAAAAGGAAAATGCTGCCAAGCCTAGAGTATGGATATGCTGAAGCCCACGTTACAGGGAGCCCCAGGCACATCATTCATGAAAAAACACACAACCACAACTGTTTCAATCCCCACAGCCCAGGCACAACTGGCACTAAGAGCCAGGCTCATATTTACTCTATTGAGCACCAGAAAACTCAGCAAACCCTCTTCACTTGTTTTCAGGCAGGAAGAACAAACCTTCAGCCTCATCAGCAGGGATGGTTTTCATCACCAGACCTGTGGAGCGCAGGGACACAGCCAGCTCCTTCACCCGGTTGCTCAGCACAACCTGCAGGAAAGGCTCTGGTAATTCACATGGCAGAGAGCTTCGACATGGAGAGGTCTGGGAGAAGCTTTTCACTAATGCAGTGTCAGCTAAAACAGGCTTGTAAAGTTCACCGTGACCTCTCCTGGAATGCAATTCCAGAAGAAAGGAGAGCCAGAGCACTCCTTTTAGGAGATCGGTACCATGCTGGGGACCCCTGTGAGCAGAGATATTTTGGGCTGCAAAGAGCCCCACTTGCCTTTCTGTATGTTACTGTGAGATCTGTGCCAGGGCCATCCAGGGTCATTTTCCTCTTGGTCATGCTTAACTCTGCAAGAAGAAAACCGGGTAGGATTGAGGTTTCACTCATTTCACCTGTCAGTGATTGGAAGAGGTAGTCTTCCCATGGGATAAGCCACCCCCTCTGTCACACAGCAGTCGTGGCCTGGCACACTGGCACTTCTCTCCTGGCTCTGTGCACTCAACAGGTACAGTAAGATGGACTCACTTTAGGGTCTGTGCCCAACCACATGGCAAACATCCATTGAATTGGGCACTGGGATGCACTGATCATAGAATCTTAGAATCATAGAATCTTAGGGGTTGGAAGGCAGCTAAAACAGGCTTGTAAAGTTCACCGTGACCTCTCCTGGAATGCAATTCCAGAAGAAAGGAGAGCCAGAGCACTCCTTTTAGGAGATCGGTGCCATGCTGGGGACCCCTGTGAGCAGAGATATTTTGGGCTGCAAAGAGCCCCACTTGCCTTTCTGTATGTTACTGTGAGATCTGTGCCAGGGCCATCCAGGGTCATTTTCCTCTTGGTCATGCTTAACTCTGCAAGAAGAAAACCGGGTAGGATTGAGGTTTCACTCATTTCACCTGTCAGTGATTGGAAGAGGTAGTCTTCCCATGGGATAAGCCACCCCCTCTGTCACACAGCAGTCGTGGCCTGGCACACTGGCACTTCTCTCCTGGCTCTGTGCACTCAACAGGTACAGTAAGATGGACTCACTTTAGGGTCTGTGCCCAACCACATGGCAAACATCCATTGAATTGGGCACTGGGATGCACTGATCATAGAATCTTAGAATCATAGAATCTTAGGGGTTGGAAGGGACCTCGAAAGATCATCTAGTCCAACCCTCATCCTTGTTTTCCCAACAAAACCTTGCCCACCTTGTTTCCCCAACAGAAATGCAGTGCTGGTCCAACTTCAGAGGGTCCTGGAGACAACCAAATGCACAATCTACAAAACCTAGTTGAGACCAAGAGCCAGTGACCATAACGTCATTTAGCCCGGTGTCATGAGCCCGAGAGAGAGATGGAGATATTTAGGGAAGCCTTCTGCTCATCAGGGAACAAGGGATATTGCCCCCAGCATGGCCTTGACTGCTGCAGGCTGAGGAACAGGGTGAGAGAGATTTGGGGCCAACAGACCCCCCCACCCAGGATGGCAGCCCTTGCTGCAGGGCTCATCTTGGGGGGCGCACACACCTCTGTGGGGGATGCTGTCCTGCACCTGGGTGTGCAGCTCTGTGAGGAATACATCCTCAGCTGGCTCCTGCACTGGGTCACTGAAGAAAACCTGAAAGAGAAGAAAAATCTCTAAGAACAGCTCAGCTCCTCTTCAGTCCTTCTGTGAATTTCAGATGGGCTTGTCACATCAAAAGGTTCTCTCCCCTTATAAAAGGGAATCTACGACCTCATTATGGTAGTCAGGGGCCTGTGGGATGGACAGATCCGCTTTTGTTCTGCTTTCTGAAGTCCAGGAGCATGGTAGGCCTTGCAGAAGCCCGGGGAACCTGGCTAGAAGAGCCACGGGCAGTGTCCCCTGCCACTGGGTGTCACTGCATGCTCACAGATGAGCCTGTTCCCAGCCCAGCCACCCAGAGGGAGTTCAGGTCGAGGGAAGCTGCTTCCCAGGCCTGGCTGCAGATGCTGGCTTGCTTAGCTTCAAGGCATAGGATTTCTATCTGATACACCTAAATCAATCGGTCACTTCAAACCTGTTAACTCTTTTCTTTTCATGGGCTTGTTTTGAGGAAAATGCGCAGATTCCCAGAGAAACTCTCCAAGCCACTACAAGCCCTACGTCCAACTCCTGTGGGAGCTGACCCTCACTTCCAGGAAAACTCACTACAGCCAAAGAACAGCAAGGTCCTAACGAAAAAGGCAAAACGCTCTTAGTGTTTTCAGATGAAGCAGCATCACACCCTGTGTAACAACAGGGTAGGTGAGGTGTTGCTATCTGATAACCACATCTGGAGTCAGTTCCTCTTCCCCTGCTTGAGTCACCCACTCTCTTGCTTGCTTTTGATTTTTGTCTTGGAGGAGAAATGAGTGGAATAAAAATTCACCAAAAAACCCAAAATCCCCAGGACTTGGTGCTCCAGGTGTTTACAAGCCACAAGGTAATATAGTTCAACTAGTCATTACCAAAGTTCATCCAAATCTTTGCAGTGGCACCACATGCCAGTTTGCTGCTGTACTGGCTGCTCCTCTACTGCAACCACATGGGCTAGGGGTAGATTAAAAATAAATATGTGCATCAGTGCCAGCCTCATCTTTGAAGGGAGAGAGCTGCCAGAGGAGCAGATGGGGGGCGCTAATGTTACATGACCAAATACAGCAGCTCTTTGGTCTTGTATCAAAAGCCAGGTCCCAATCACACACCATTTCAGAGAAAAGCTGTCAGGAAATAAATAAAATGGTGTTTCAGGAAGCCCCGCAAAGCCTTCCGAGGTACAGGAAGGTTTTGGTAAAGCCAAACTCGTTTGCTCACAGCATCTAATGCAGCAGGAGGTGCCGAGAGCTCTAAGCAAACCTGAGTCCAGCAGAGCAGGAAATCTGGGTCCTTATAGGGTAATCACAAAGATCACTTTGCTGACCTGTGTGATCCTGACATAGCCTCCCTGAGATCACTGACTCTGGCTGAGTTGTGCTACAGGGAGTCTCCTGAGAGTCTACATCCAGGAGCCTGGCAAGGAAAAGGTGGGCTAGGGAGCATGGAGATCTAGGCTTAGATCTACCAAAAGCTCCCAGATCCCTTTTGACTTTACACAGCGCTGCCAGCAGTGGGGCTCTGCAAGCACTTGCAGGACCACGTGAGCTGTGGGACAGGAGATGTGGCACCCACCTTCACAGCGTAGACCTGGAAGCAGACAGGCTGGATGCCCATGCGGACATAGTAGGCGATCACATCAGTGATGAACAGGTCAGTCACAAGATGTTTGCTCGGAGAGGAAGGCTGGGGGAGACAAATCAGATCATGGATCAGTCACAGTCACTTCTCAAAAACTCTGCCACAAACCCTCATGCGTTCCTAGATAAACTGTGAGCAATGAGTTGTCACCCAGGGCAGCACTGAGCTGCTCTGCCACAACAAGCCAAAGCCACTGGGAGAAGCAAAGGCTTGTGCCCACCTGCCAGCCTTTTCCTCTAAGCTATCGAAGGTGGCTCAAGCTGCCAGGAAAAGAGAGCTGGGGGTATTTCAGCAAATGCCTCATTTACATTTTCTTTCTTGAAAACAGCCACTTCCTGTCCCTTGTCCAAAAAAACCCATCACAGCAAATTAGTCTTGTGGGCTGCGACAGTGGCAGCCACACAGGCACCTTCTTGGCTCCCAGCCCTTGGGAGAGCTTGCAGGGAGAAAGCCTCTACCTGTGGCACAGAGGAGCCCTGCAGGGCACTAGCTCATCCTCAGGTACTGTGGAGGTGTCTGGGAAAGGGACCAGGCTGGAAGGTTCCCCTCATACCATAGTGGCCAGCTTGGGAATCATGTGGCACAGTGTGTTGATGTTGCTCTCATACCACGGGTCAGCTCTGCCGAGGTACCTGGCCACCTCACAGAGATCCTCTTGTCCGGTGGCAGCGTGGTCCTGCAGGAGGAATTTGCAGCAATACCATAGCTCAATATACCAGGAGCCACAGAGGAGGCAGAGGGGCTGGGACATGAATACCTGTGAGCAGCTCCCCCAACCCTCCCCTTTCCCTGCTTGGTCCAGAGATGATGGCAAAACATTCCTCACAGACCTCACTTAGCAGGTGCCCAAGAACAAAAATTAAATGAAGAATGAAAATAAGAAATACTAATTTTTATAAGGGAACATTTGTCAGGACTCCCAGCCAGCTCTGGGGCATCTTGCGAGAAGGGTGACTGTTTATTTATAGCTGTCTCAAGGCTGTCAGAGGGGAAGAGATTTGCCCAAGGCAAGCTTGCAGAACTAAAACTGGGCCCACAATCAAGCAGGCAAAACCCTCAGTGAAGGGTGACCACTTCCCCTAAGACAAGCAAGTCCATTGCTAAAGACCCTCGATCCTCCTGTAGCTGGGGCACAGCAGCAAAACCATTTCTAGGCTGCGGCTTTTCCCTTGTTGGGGTGGTCGGATCAACCTGCACATCTTCGGAGCTTATGAATTCCTGAAGTCAGCCGGCAAACCGAGCTCAGCCGCCCTATCTTGGCTCCCATTCTCCTGGTTCTAGGAACCAGACATTAATAGATGTGAATTCCTGTAACCGCCTCTGCTCTTCCTTCAAAAACATCCTCGGCTGCCGGCAGGAGGCAGCGACACAGCTCCTGAGCCCAGACTCACCGCAGCGCCAGTGTCTGGCTGCCCTGTCACCACTGGGATGTAGTAGAATTGCAGGTTCAGCCTGGGAGTCAGAAAAACTCGCCGTGTTTCTCGTTTCCTTGAAATGGAAAAATAAATAGCCATGTCACAAGGGAAAGCTAGACGAAAATGGCACTTGGCCAAATCTGGGCAGTACCAGGAGACCACAGCTGCTCTGCAACAGGAGCTCGCGCCCTCCTCTGCTCAGACAGGATAGCAGAACTATCCCTGCATTCCCAAATCCAGTAAAGGGGAGATGATGGAGGTAGGGGGCATCCTGCAGACTGCCTCTCAGCTGGGACCCGCAGTCTCCTCTGCACCCAGCTCTGCTCCCCAGGCTGCCTGTACCATCACCCAGACCCATCCCACATCGGTCCCTTGGCTGAGCAGCTGGAGAACAGCTTTTCTTTATGATTTTTCCATTTTTCACAGGAAAAGATCATGCCTTATTTATTGCTCATTCCACGGACAGAAGAGATAAAACTCCCTGTGTGCATCATTTGGACCAAGAGAGCCAAATGTTGCCATGCAGCCAATTAAGATGGATGATTTCATAGCATCATAGAATCCCAGACTGGTTTGGGTATGAAGGGATCACTCAGTTCCAACCTGCCCTACATGGGCAGGAACACTTCCCACTAGACCAGGTTGCTCCAAGCCCCATTCAACCTGCTCTCTTCCCAGGGATGGGGCAGCCACAGCTTCTCTGGGCAACCTGGGCCAGGTTCTCACCACCCTCAGAATAAAGAATTTCCTCCTAATATGTAACCTGAATTTCCCCTCTTACAGTTGAAAGTAATTATCCCTTGTTCTGTTGCTAATGGTCCTTGTCCAAAGCCTCTCCCCAGCTTTCCTGGAGCCCCTTCAGGTACTGGAAGGTGATTTATGGTCTCCCTGAAGCCTTCTCTTCCCCAGGCTGAGCAACCCTAAATTGCTCAGCCTGTCTCCAGAGCAGAGCTGCTTGGACCATCTTCATGGCTCTTTGGATGCAAAACCCCTGGGTTCCATCCTGTCTTAGGTAACCCATCCCCAGCCATCCTGGCTGCTTCAACAGGCTGAAGAACAAGCCCCAGCTCTGTCCTCCCTTTTCCCAAGCCCCCAGAGCCAAGGAGACTGTGGCCACCTCAGAGAGTGGTAGGCTTGGGCCAGGCGCCCCAGGATCCGATCATCTCCCAGCAGCACGATGCGGGCGGTGTGAAGCCTCTGGAGTGGGGCTGGATGCTCCAGAGAAATTCCTGGTTTCCTCTGTGGCTTTGCCGGGGACTTCACCCCAGGCCCGTTGCAGCCAGCTTGCAGGAAAGCCACGCCTTCCAGCGGTGATGGCTTTTTTTTTATGCCACCCTTCCTCTGGAGCCGGGACTGCTCGGTCTCCATGCTGCAGGGAATGAAGGGCTCCTCGGGCGCCGCGGGCAGGTCCCGCTCGATGCCGCTGTCAGTGGAGAGCACGGAGAAGCGGCTCTGCTGGCAGCACTCGCAGTCTGAAACCATGTCTGGGATCTCAAAGTTGTCCAGGTCCCGGCTTAGGCAGCTGGGCTCACAGGTGTGTGATAGTGGGCGGATGAACAGCACCAGTTCCTTCCCTGTGGGAAATACAACCAAAACCTGCCTGAGCCCTGTCCCAGCTCTTCTTTTCTCACACAAACCAGAGTGTTGGTATCTCCACCAGCAGGTCCAAGAGGAGTTCATACTTCAGTCCCATTTCACATTGCACCATGAAGAGAGCTCAATATAACTCAGAGCAAGCACTTCAGGTGCATCCTGCTGCAGCCTGTCCTCCAGGGGCCCCCCTCTCATCTCCTTTGCTCCTCTGTCCCCCTAGCCCTAGCCCCCCCTGACACCCCACAGAAGGAAGGCTGGTGCAGTCAGCACAAGCCCCCCCAAGCTTGGCCCTTGGGTGATAGTTATGAAGCTCACTGCCCAAGAGTCAGGGTCAAATGACAGATTGTGCACAGACTCCTCAGTCTCAGGCACCTCCCACACCTGCCACAGTCATCAAGAGCACTCACAGAGCTGGTCGTCTTCTGTCCAGAGGTGAAAGCTGATGCTGGGGTTGGGCAGAGGGGTACCCTGCAGCCCTCCCAAGGGAGCATCACCTGGGGGAAACAAGGATGCTTGTCACACACAGGAGCAGACAGCTTCCCTGAGTGGGTGCATGAACCCCTGCTGGTGATGTGCTGGACATGGGCTGAGGGCCCAAGGGCTCGCCGCCCCCCCCCCCCATGTCATCTTCTGGCCAGACCTGAGGCTCCAGTCACAGAGCTCTGCTCTCACAGATTGGGCCATGAGAAGGTACCTACACCATCAGTTAAAGGGAGAAATGAAGATGAGGAAACAGGCAAGTGAAGGACCTTTGCTGCTCAGGACTGCAGCGTAAACAAACATTCTTCTAGCACAGGGTCTCCAGCACGTGTGACAGAACCTGGCTTAGCAATCTCAGCTGAGACACAGAAGAGCTCTCTGACCCCACCATCACTGGATACTTTTAGCCCATTATGGCTCTGTGAGAAGCAGTGGGACAATTGAATAGCTCACTGCCACCAAAAGGAGATGGCCCCACTCCCTTCCCTGCATCACTGGCTGCTTCTCTCTGTATCTTGCATGGGAACAGTCTCCAGCTCTTTCTGGAGTGGAGGTTAGGATTCAGGGACCAGGAGTAGCCAGGAAGATGGAAGTATGACCCCCTTTCCCTCTGCTCTGCCTCAGATTTGTGTGAGGAGCTGTGATGGATGGGGACATTTGTTATAGTCCCTGTAGCCCCAATGGCACCAGCCAGAACAGAGCACTGCCACGGGAGGGAAGGAGATGGCAGTACCACCACCCACTACACAAGAATAAGGAGGTTTCAGGGAGTGGTGAACAGCATGTCCCCAGTCTAGGCCATGGCAGGATGTATCTTACACCAGCAGAGCACTGGAGAGTCTGTCCCACCTCCCCCAGCTGACATCTATGGCACCCTTTGCCAGCAATGGAGACCTCTCCATGGGCCACAGGGCAGCTGAATTAGCAGCAGAGATCAACACATCTGCCTTCCACTGCCACAGGCAAGTTCCCATACTGGACACCAGGCCACTGCAAGGAGCCAGGCTACAAGGACCTGATCCTGATGACGGATGCTGCTAAAGTAGTGGAAGATAGGAGCTGGGGATGGATGGATGGATGGATGGATGGATGGATGGATGGATGGATGGACGGACGGATGGATGCAATGGTGAAGACATGGCAGAGAGGCAGCAGCCTGACAGCCTGCATGGCTCCCTTAACCCACAGTTCATTGCTGGCCAGGAGCTCACCTGCTGGGCAGGAGCTGAGGACATTCTGGTAAATCTTCTCCATCCTGGCTGCGTGCTGGCTGCGGCCTGTGCTCCCCTCACCTCTTGCACACTCCACAGCTGCCACCACTTGCCCAAACCAGTGCTCAACATCACTCATGGGCATGTCCTGTCAAGAGGAGCAGCTATTAACACTCAGAGGTAGGAAAAGAGGAGATACTCCATGGGCAGAGCCACAGGAGAGGGCAGAAAGAGGGAAAATTAGCTGTGAAAAAGTTGTTGTTTGGCAGCAGAGTACACAAATGTCCTCCTGTCCCTGAGAAAGGCGGGAGGAGAGATGCTGGCTGCACTGTCTGCTTAAAGCTTTTTTCTGGCAGGTTTGCAGCTGATGGACACTGTGCTCCTGGCTTCCCTGAGCTCAGGGAGTCAGCAGCAGAGCTGGAAGCTCAAGTGACCCTTGGGAGATGGGGACAGCAGCAACACAAAGGTGCCTTGGAGTGGAAATCACTGAGACACCCTGCAAAGTTGCCTTCTTGAACCAGACATTCATCTCTTACTGTGGCCCCACAGCTACTAGAAGGAGGTTTTAGAGAAAACTGGCTGAAACATTTCTGCCGAGATGTTTTTGCACTGGCCAGTGGTTCACAGAGGAGCCTGTACTTCAGCCACAGAGCCCAGCTTTGGGGTGCAAAACTGAAGACTCCAACTGAAGATTCAAAACCTCTGGCTCCATCTGCAGCAACTCTTTTGTATTTGAAGCATTATTCTAGTTTAACACCAGCTCTGCTCATAGCCCAGCCTTGCAAATAACACTGGGGCTACTGGGGATGGAGACCAGCAGTGAGGAGCTGAGGGGTTCCTTTCCACTTGCCAAAAAACCTTCCCTCAGTCCGAGTGCCCAGCAAAAGCAAGACCATGGGAAAACCACACGTGGTGCCACAGAAGTGCTGCCAGTTACCTGGAGGCTTCTCTTCAAGCTGGTGCTGTTGCAGCCCTCGCCCAGGGCTGCCTGCAGGGCATGGGTGATCACATAGCACATGCAAGCCTGGGGGCTCTGGGACACCTGAGCCGCCTCCATGTCGGTGACCAGCGCGTTGCAGATGGCTTCAGAGAGCAGATCTGGATCAGCAAAGATGAAAATCCTGCCAGGGATGGGACGAAGATTCCTGGTTAATGACATCAGGGCTGGCATGAGCAGCCCATCTCTCCATTATCACAGAACCACAGAACAGGACATTAAAGACCATCTAGTTCCAACCCCCTCTTACATGGGCAGGGACACCTCCCACCAGCCCAGGTTGCTCCAAGTCCCATCCAACCTGCCATTCAACACTGCCAGGGATGGGGAATCCAGTGTTTCCCTGGGCAAACTGCTCCTCATGCAGAGAAAAAGGGTAGGTGCTGATATTCCCCTTCTCTGCCCTGTCTCCCAACCAAGGGACCCCCCTGCATTTCCAGAGTGACAGAAATAAACCAGGACACATGGGAGGAACGTGCTCCTTCCAAAACAAAGCTCAGCTTATCAAGGCTTTGGATGCCACCAAATTGTGTCCCCTAAGAACATATGTTGCCACCTGGCTTATGTCCAAATTGTCTGGTCTATCTGACATTCATTCAGAGCACAGGAAAAGGACAGATTTCACTGTGAGATGATACAAGAAATAAAAGTACAACTCATTCAAAGAGGCACTACTCACTTTTCATGGTAAGGGTAGGGGTCACTTTTGAGACTTTGTTCAGCAATGACCATTCTTTGGTACAACATACCTAGAGAATGCAAGAAGATAAACACACAGGAGTGACAGCATGGGAAGTAACAACTCACAACTGGTCCTGGTTGTAAAGGCTGGTGGTGGGCCTGCCAAATTGGCAAACAACAAGAGCCAAGGACTGGGCCCAGAGTTAAAAATAGTCAAGGGCAAAGCTAGGCTGTGCTACATAAAAAGAAAACTTCTATTCAAGGACTATTTCCTGTATTCCCCTTCCTTTGTTTAGTGGATTATGAGCTTGGGAGCAGAGTTGGAAGCAGGAGGAAGAACCCTGCTCCCACCTCTGTTCCCAGGGCCAAGTCAAGGGACAGTGTTTGGGTGCACACGAAGAGCACAACATGTTTCTGAATCAGGATAGATGTACTTTACCCTCACCCCGCTCTGGGGTGGGGAAGATACATCCACCCTGCACAGCTCAGGAGCAATCACCTTTGAACCTCGTGGGGCTCTGAGAGAAGCCCTGCTGGAGATCCCCATATCTCCACACTGAATCCTTCTTTTACCAGAAGTCAGGCAAGATAAAGGTGGACCTTGGAGCCCCGTATTGGGGAAGGGTGATGAGCTGAGGCTACCAAGAATGGCACTTTTGTCTCTAATTTCCCACCAGGTTTCTCATATTTTACCTCCTCCTCAAAAGGTGTCTGCACCTTGCACTGTTTTAAAAGACTGCTTTTTAAAAACTCTTATTAAAGAAAACTTTAACAAGAACTTTGATGAGCAACACAGAGAAAAAGGAACATAGAGTTGTCCCCTGGATTGCTTTCTAAAAGAGACTGTTCTCTGCAGAAACTACTGGTGTGTCTGAACGTGGTGTGTCTGAAACGTGATGTGCAGGTAGTGGAGGAAGAGCCCATGCTGGACAGCCTGCAACTCAATCCCAGATGAAGACTTCACTTTACAGAAAGGAGATCTCCACAGAACTCCCTGAGCTGGCCAGGCTGGGAGCATAAGCAGCCTATTTCCCGTATACACAGAAGGTGTATTTATACCTGCCTCAGATGAGCTGGACTCCACTGTGGTGGTGCCTACACAGTCAGTAGGAGGACCCCAAGGTTTTCTGCTAGCAACTAAGGCTTAGGAGCCTGAAATCAGGAGAGGGGAACCTTACATCCAAATTTATCCCTAAGACCCCCAGGAGTTTGGCCAGCCCCCTGCAGAAATCCCTGGCACAGCACATTTCATTAGGCAAAGACTAGTTCAGGTATAGAAACTGCCCCAAAACCCCCACTGCCATCTGCTTGAGTACCCCAGCCATCCACCATGTCCTGCAGAGCAGAGCAGATCAGCCTTCCTACCTGGTGTTGTCCTTTCCATCTTCAGCCTGATGGCATAGTCCAAGCCGATGGTGCAGAAAGGCTTGGGCAGGGTGAGCAGCTTCTTACAGAAGTCATACACTCTGCCACAGAGCTCCTCAGAGATGCAGGGAGCCTGGAGAGAGAAAGGGGGGATAAGGAGATGCCACAGGCACTGATCCCTAACTGTGCTCTGCCCAAAACAGCTCAGGGTGGGAGGGCATAAAGCTACAACAAATTAAACCTGGATTTAAATGCAATGTATGAAGCAAAACCAGGCCCTTCAACAGTTTGGAAACCTCCAGCAACAGGTGCTGAAGGGCTGTGGGCACATGTTTTTGCCAGGTTGTGGCTTCCTGCACAATCAGGCACCTAAGCACTTCTGGAGGAGAGAGTCACCTGGAAGGACCTATCACTCCCATACATGTCATGGATGTCTCAGCCAGCAAACAACACACTGGGAAATGTATGGTTGAGTCCACCCATGGCAGTCCCAGGGCTTTGCTGGGCAGGTATTGGGATATTTCAGCACAGGAATAGGTGCTGAGTGCCTTCAGGTGACCCCTCCATTGGCTTCTGTTGTCCCTGGACCTTGCCCCAGCCCAGCCTGTGGTAGTTACCTTGATCAAGGTGTACATCAGCGTGTGCAGCAAGGGGATGATGTAATGTCTGAAGTCACCTCGTTCTGCCTGTGGGACCAGAAGGCACAGTCAGGGCAGGCAGCACCTGGGTGCTGGGATGGGCAGTGCTGGAGACCAGGGCTGAGGGAACCACCGCATCGCCCGGGATGTCCCAGCTGCCCAGCGGCTCAGGCACACAGGGAGAGCTCAGGAATTCTGCTGGCTAAAGGGTGATGCTCCCCAGATCAAGGTGGGACTTGAGGGTCCACAGGCGATCAGGGTGTCCCTGAGGCAGACAGGTCCTGCCTGGTGGGCATTCCATGTCAGCCAAGCCTTGTGAAGGGTGTGGGAGGGTAGACCAGGCTGCCATGGCCACCAGTGCATCACAGGGCTGGAGGCTGCTGGGGGAACATGAAGGCTCTGGAGCTGCTGGGAGAGAATGGTTTGCACACCAAGAGCTGCCAAGCACATTAGCAGCAGTCAGGGTGGGAGAGAGAGAAAAAAAGCTTCTAGCTGAGCTCGTTAGGGAGCTCAGTTTCTGCAAAAACCTCTGCTTTCTGTTGCAAAAATTCATGTGAAAATATAGAACCACTGGAAACACTCTGGAAAAAACCACTTGCATTTGGTGGGTGTGGAACCAGAATGGACAGGGAGGAGAGATGCTCTTGCATCACCATCCTGGCCTGTGAGAAGCCAGATGGATGCTCAAGCTGACACAGCCCTGGCCTCTCCCTGCTGCCTGGCTCTGACAGCTCCAGCAAATGCCCTTGGATAAACTTGGGGAAGATGTTTCCATCTTTAAGCTATTTGCAGCACCTTTCTCCAGGGCTGCTGTGTGGAGGGATCCAAGTTAAATGGAACTGATGACAGCAAAGCTTTAGAAATTATCAATAACATCAATAATACTGAACTAAAACAGCTGATATTTGCCCAGAGCCCTGCAGAAACTCAAGCATGGCTCAGTAATCATCTGGGGTTGGTATCGACTGCTCAGAGCTGCTGCAGTATCATAGGAATGAAAAACTCCACAAAAAAAAGTGACACTGATTTCCAAGAGCTTCAGGAAAATGGAGGGAACTACAGACAAAGAGGCCTGACATCCCTCCTGGGCAAGGAAAGGTAAGAGTAGCAGAGTGATAATAAGACAATAGGAGGGACTGACAAGACCTCAGGCCCTCGGTGGGGGGAGTTCCTGCATCCATAGCCAAGGGTGATGTGGGTGTTCTAGTCTAGCTGGCTTTGCAAAAGATCCTTCTGCCAGGCACTGATGGAAGCAAGAATGCCATAGCTTGAAGAGTGACAGCCTGCAAATGGCCTCAGAGCTGCTTGGAAAGCAGAAAACAAATATTAGGAATAACTGCTGGATGCTTACAGCGCTGGGATGAGGACACAGGGGTCCTGGGATGTGGGCATAGGGGTCCAGGCTGGGCTGAGACAGTTCAAACGTGTGACACGGGAGTGATGAGAGAGGTGAGAGCTTCTGCAGAGGGTGCTTGGCCACCCTGGGGCTCAGTTGGCAGGACAAGGGAGCTGAGCAATGCTCCATACTTCCAGCTCGAAACAGTAAAGATGCAGAGAAAATGGTGTGAGGAGGTTTCTGCAGAAAGGACAAGCAGCTCATCCCCTGGGTGGGGAGGAGGAAGTGGAGGGGGTACATGGGCTCTTCTGCCCTGTACCACAGTGAAAGGACACAGGGGAAAATGAGGCAGGCTCATATGAAAGAAAAGGTGTCACTTCTACACGTCACATCTCACCAAACCACAAACCAGGCTTCTGAGGCTGCTAAAGATTTACACGAGGCCAGAAAATTACAAGACAAAGCAATGAAACAGAAAATCCACCTTGATGTTTCCATTGGATGTGCTCACGACAGGATGCTGGGCTAGATGTTTCTGCACTGACACCCTCTGGGGAGAAAATAAGTGACACGGGGGAGGAATTTCCACTCTCCCTGTGACTCCGGCTGGCTGGGGTGGGATGAGGGAGATTCGGGTGTGGTCGGAAGCGTTTTGCACTTTGCAATCTGCAAAGGCTGGCTGCTGGGGCACTGGAGAGCCTGGGGAGGCTCTTGCTCTGCCCATGGCTCACTGTCACTTCTGGGGCAAACCCAGGTCCCTGCAGCCATCAGATGGGGATGTACAGCTCTGCCCTGGTGTCCCACAGACTTTTTCACTCTGTGTTATGAGCCACAGTCCCCAGCCAGGCTCAAGGTCCCTAAAAACAGAGGACCTTGATTTATCCATATCAAGCCCAGGATGCCCCAGGAGGGAGGCAAAGCCCAGCAAGTGCAGTTGAGTCCCCGTCCCTCTGCTCCCCTGGGCCCTGCAGCAGGGCACATGTGACTGAGGGACTAATCCTGGTATTCAGGATTCTCTGAGGTGATACTCACCCTTTCCAACTCCTTCACCAGGATCCTGACCAGGACAGAGCTGTTACTGGGATTCTGGTCGATTTTTTTATGCAGGGTCCATCGCAGCATCCCTGAAAAGTGAAAGCCAAGAAAGAGGTTAGTTTGCCCAGAAGAGCAGCAATGGATCAGAGGCAGCATTTCACAGAGGAATCAGGAGGTATGGGCTCTGTTCCAGCAAAAAAATCACCCACTGAGATGCAATGTTGACATCACTATCAGAGCCAGCCCAGGCTTCTCTGGCCTCTGCAAGGGACAAGTCATCCTGCTGCCTTGATTCAGGAGGGAGCACTGTCATACTGTACTTCTGACACTGGGGAACCTTTGGGAAAAGTTCCTAGAGATCTGGGACTGGAGGCTGGTGGTGGTGCAGAAAAGCAAAGCAGGGCAATGGATGTCAAGTTTGTTTCTCCAAGACTGTAACGGGGATTTCAGCTGTCTCTACAACACGGCAGTGTGTGGCAAAGTGACATCCCCGTGGGGAGGGACAGGGACACTCCAGCTCAGGGGTGTGAAGTGAGCTGGACAAGGCTGTGCAGTGAGTCAGTGTCAGACCTGGGACCAGCAGCACCAACTCTGGCATTTGACATCCCACCTCATGCTGGGTCCCTTGGGCAAGTGAAGGGTGTAAAGGATATAACAGCTCCATAGAGGGATGGAAGCTGCTGAGGTTGGTGCACGTCAGGCCCCAGGAGCTCACCAAGGATTTAGCTCCTTCGGAAGCAGAAGGGCAGAACAGCACCAGGGAGGTGAGGCCACCCCTTGTTCCCCCACCCTAGCACAGATGGAGAGGTGTCCTCCTTACCTCGGCCGCACTGGCAGGCGGGGTGGTGCCCGTCCAGCTCCCGCAGCAGCGCGCGGACACGGCGCAGGATGTCTGACTCCACCTCTAGGGAAGAGAAAGGACATGAGCAGCCAGGCCACCCTCTGGGAAACTGGCACCCAGGGAGGAGGCAGTGGAGTGGGTGTCTATGGGCACTGCCCCCTCACTACATCCATCAGGATGGCCACCCCAGCAGGCTTCCAGTCTGGATGAGTCTCGATGGAAACAGGGCAGACCTCTCCCTGGGACCACTGGAACCATGGGCAAATGCCACACCATGGACTGGGAGACTTCATAGTGGTCTCCCACTATCTGAAGGGACTATAGGAAAGCTGAGGAGGGACCTCTTCTAGTGAGAGGACAAGGGGGAATGGATTAAAACTGGAAGAGGGGAGATCTAGGTTGGACATTAGGAGGAAATTCTTCATACTGCGGGTGGTGAGACCCTGGCATAGGTTGCCCAGGGAAGCTGTGGCTGCCCTATCACAGAATCACAGAGTGCTGGGTGTTGGAAGGAACCTCTGGAGATCATCTAATCCAACCCCCCTACTAGAGCAGGATCATCTACAGTAGATCCCTCAGGAACATGTCAGGTAGGTTTGGAATGTCTCCAGGGCTGGAGACTCCACACCCACTCTGGGCAGCCTGTTTCAGTGCTGTTTTACTCTCACAGTAAATAAGTTTTTCCTTATGTTTAACTTGGCCCTCCTGTGCTCCAGCTTGTGCCCAAGGTGCATGTCACCTCCTGCCTTCCATCCGCCACCCCTCACAGCCTCTCCCTGATGTGTGACCACCCACTTATGGGTCCTGAGCACCTTCTGCTGCCCCAGGCAGGGACCCGAGGTGGGTGCCTGGGAACCACCACAGGTGCCTAGTACATGTCAAAAACCAAACTGCATCCTTCTCCACACCAAAAATAAGTCTGACAACCTCAGCCCCAGTGTGGAGTATGACTTGTATCTGGGCCCAGGGCTGTGGTCACCAGCTCAGTCACAGGACAGCTGCCTGGCCACATGCACAGACATGTCACAGATGTAAAACAAAAGTCAGCCCTGAAAGCACATGGGGTATTGGCCAGGAAAGCTGCAAGGTCCCCTCAGTCTACCATGGCCTGGCTTTGTGTCCCTCCTTACACTGGGCTACTATCAGCAAAACAAGGCTTGCTCCTTTGCAAGCATAATTTTAAAAATAATACACAGCTGGGTACTAGTAGGTGATGTTCTTCTATAAGAAGCTGTAGGCTGGAGCAGCCAGAGCATGGCGTGGTCCAGGGGAGGATCTCAGATGTTTGTGGTAACCATATCCCAGGGCCCTTTCCTAGGCAGGCCTGCAAGTTCACTGGTGGGGTCCAGCCCCTTGCCAGCAGTGGCCAAGCAGGTCTCACCTGCATGGCAGGGATGCAAGGAAGGAGCAATGTATCCATGTCCTAAGGGAGCTCCAGACACATACTGCCCACTCTGAGTTATCTCATCCACATGCCATTGCCTTTTGGGATTGGTGTCATTACCACCACATTTCCTGCCCAGTTGTGCTCCTGAATTTTCTCATTCCTTCCACGCCCTTTCCTACAACAGCTCCATCTTCCCTGACACCAGAGAGATGGCAGGAGGACCATGGAGGGCACTCATCTGTACCTAAGAGAAACAGAGGAGGCAGCCAGGGAGATCCTGTTTAGGAGCTGTGCTGAGGGACCACAGCTTCCAACCCTCCTTCCTTGGCTCTGGAAGGAGATAAATCCAGCTGGGTGCTTTGGGCTGTTCAAGGGTGACTGGGGGAGGTGGGTTGGGAACTAGCTGGGTGGGAAGGGAAACAGGAAAATACAGGAGGGGTTTTACAGCTCAGATGGAGGGTCAGACCAGCAGGGGCACCTCAGGGAGTGTTCCTCTGAGCAGAGGACCATCAAGACATGATCACACAGGAGATGGAGGAGCTTTGAGTATCTTCTCCCTTGTCCCATGCAGACCCCTACACCAGCTCAGGATGAGTTTGACTCAAGAAAAAAAAATAAATTATTTTTTGCTCTTCTACGGTGTCTTTTAAGGCATTCATGGGCCCAGGGTCACCACACAAGGGACTGGATGTGGCACCCCAGAGCTGTCACTGTCCCCACTGGAGATGCACAGCAGCAGGACAGGACTTTGCCCCTTACAACATCTCTGCTGCCTCCTTGTCACCAGCTCGCAGGGTGACACATCACCCTGTTGCCCTCTGCAAGCCCAGGACTGCAATGCTGCGGGTCCAACGAGATGCTGACCAGGGGACAGGGACAGCAGACACAGCCCCTTCGTAAACAACTGGGAGTTGCAAAATTTCAAGTACTGGGGTTGGCCCATTCCTGAGTACACCCCAATAGCCAAAGTAGTTCTATTTCCTGAGCCCAGGGAGGGTCAAGGATGCTTGTGTGGAGGATTCAGTTCAAGCTTCATCCACAGAGGAATCCTGACTGCTGAGGTATCAGTCGAAGTGATGTTAGAAAAGTGACGTTTCTACCCTAGTTGTGTGTGGTTTTTTGGTCCTGCTCCAGCAGTGGGGGTTGGACTTGATCTTTGGAGGTCCCTTCCAACCCCTAATGTGCTGTGATTCCGTGAAAACAGCCACACTTGGCCTCACAGTTATTCCTACGTGCTTGCATGGTTGTGCACACACAGGGGAAGTGTCATCTCTGCCAGCTCACTTGATGCCATCGTAACCACAGGAGAAGAAAATACAAAAAAAATCCTTTGAAATGGGTTTTTTCTCATTTTGGAAGAGTTATTGGGGGAAATATTAAAATTTTCCTTTCTCTCCAGTAATTTTGTAAAGCTCCTCAATTTCACTAGTAACTTCATGGGTTTTGCACTAGGAAATCACACAATAACAGACAATTTGAAAATTCCTATTCGTTGGGATTTGTATGTGTATTTAATTGCTAGGGGGAGTTTTTCCTGAGCACTGATAGAAATACTGCCCTTTTTTCTACATCAAAGCAACTGCAGACATGATACACGGAGGTTTCTTCATGGGGAGCAAAGCATCAAAGCTTTGTTCCAACACAAACAAGAGACACTTTGATCTAAAAGCAGTTTCAACCTAGCAGTGACAAACACTGGTGTCTTAGAGATAAAATAAAACCTTTAAAAATTGATACCAGGATCTAGGGGTGCTGGGAGACCAATATCACCTTGTGAAACACTGTGAAAATAAAACACAGATGGGGGAAAAAAAGACACAAAAAGTACAGTAAAACATTAAACTGCTTTAAAATTCAAATGAGAATGTGGGAGGCACTTTTTATAAGGCCATGTAGAGACAGGACAAGGGGGAATGGATTAAAACTGGAAGAGCAGAGATGTAGGTGAGACATTAGGAAGAAATTCTTCACTCTGAAGGTGGTGAGACCCTGGAACAGGTTGCCCAGGGAAGCTGTGGATGCTTTCAAGGTGCCCTTCCACAGAAAGTCTTTGGTGGCCCCTCATTGCTTCCTGCCTTTTTTCCCTTTCATTTCCCACCTACCTAGCATGGTCTGCCAACACCTTGCAAAGGGCAAGGTCTTCCCAGAAGCCATGAATCCTCCTCAGATATCCACCTTATTGTTTCAGAGTGTAATCAAGGCACAAGGCAGCAGATGACGGGGTCCATTGGGTTGGGACCCCCTACCTGGGGGCTCAGCATCACCCACCTGTGCTCTCCATGGCTGGGCCGGGCTGGAGTGCACAGCTGCTTCTCACTCCCCATGGGCATGGCCTTGGGTCCTGGGTGTCACCTGGGGAAAAATTAGGGATCAGCTTAGGCTGGTGGCAGAGATCGGGCCCAGCTCAAGGGGGGGAGCATAAAGACATCACCGGCAGGAGACCCCAGGGTGGGGATGTCCAGCAGGGAAGCAGAGGGTGGCACAGCATGTCTCAGGGGCTATTTTGCTGGAGAAAACTTCAGCTTGAAGCTGAACCCATCTGAACGCAATGTCCCCACAGCCTCCTGCAGCAAGGAAGACACAGGGATAAGCATCAGCATTGCCAAGAAGGGCAGGATTGGGAACTTTATCCTCTCCAGCATTTAAGAAGGAATATTCAGGTTAAGTAAAACTGAGTCTGAAATACAAAATCCAACCAAACGCAACGAAAAAAAAAAAACCAATATTGAATTTCTATGAAGTTTCTGTTCTTGTGATCTGCTGCTGTCCTGATCCAGCATCCCAGGAAAACAAGCCCTGAGGAAAGCTGAGGAGCCAGTTATGCTGCAGAGGGAAGCAGCCTGGAGCCTGACAGCTTCCCTTGCCCCCCAGCATTGTTCTCTCCCATGAAAGAGAAAAAAATAAATAATCCCAAGAGCTGAGAAGGAAGGAAGGGAGAGTTGCCTGTGACACAACCACAAACAGGCTGGGGAGCTGGCATGGGGCAGCCACAGGGAACTAGGCAGATACCAGCATCTTCTATGGGAAATACCACTGCTGAGACACTCAGCTGTAGTGATGTGCTCCACAACTGGGTCCTTCCCAGCCCGTGGTCCCAATGCTTTGTGGTCCTGCCTCTAAATGCCCATGGGAAGACGGTGTCTCCTCCAGAGCATCCTCTGCTCCCGTCCTCCACCTGTGGGCACAGCAGCAACTGCGGGATGGTGCTGCCTGTACCTGCAGCCTGTGCGAGCTGCAGCACCACCTCCAGCCTTTTTAGATTGAGGCTGTTCCAGCCTGCACATTTTGCCCTCTCTTCTTGCCTTCAGGGATGGAAAAAAAACCCCCAAAACACACTAAAAATCCCCATCCCTTAGCTCTTAATTCTGTTATTTCCCTGAAACACCCAGCTTTGTGGCTGCTAACAGGGAGCCCACTCCCAGCGGTCCTCACACCGGTGCAGGCAGTAGCAACATCAGAGTTTCATCCCACCTCCCTCTGAGCTCAGTTAGGCCATCAGCCCACACCTGTGCTCATTTCGGATTCTGCCCTCTTTAATTTGCATATTTAGGACCTAACTCTACCCAGGAAGTTCCTAAATCTGTACATATCCATCACCAAACCCAACAGGTCTGCAGCTGCAGGGGGAGATGGACAGACACGTGCGGGAGCACCCCTGCCACTCACCACTTGGGCCCCGAGAGCATCCGGCTCTCAGCAGCTTTCAGAAGCTCATTACAGGTTTCCTGCAGCAAGCCAAATTTTCAAAACCCATCCCAGACCCATGTGGCCTTTAGTTCTGGCCCCGGGGCTGGATAACAAGGTCTGGCACCGAGCCATCTTGGCAGATTTCCACCACCTGCTCAGCAGCTCCCAGCAGTGGCTGCAAAGCAGAGAGGACATAGGAAGGGAGGAAAGGCATCTGTTTGCAGCCCAGGGCCTTACACAGCAAACCTGTCTGTGCCTCCACAGCTCACCTTGGTCCAGGGCTGGGAGCTGGGAGGAGATGCCAACCCTCCTCCAGCTCAGCTGAATGCCCAACACCAACCTCAGAATTACATCTCTGTGCATGTGGATACTGCTGTGGCCATGGACGTACCCTTTCCTCTGATGGATCTGTCCCTTCCTCCCAGGTGACTGCCCTGGGGTGCACTAGGGGTGTATGTAGCAGGGCAGAGGGTGTCCACTAAGGGCAGCAAACCTCTTCCCAGGCTGATGGCAGTGGCTCTGCCTGCGGATGATGGCTGTGCTGCCCACAGGTTGCTCCCATCCGTGGCACAGCCACCCGCCTTCCCTCTTGCACTTAGACTGCCACCCCTGGCCAGGCACAGGATGGACTCCCTGGAGAAGCACAGCACCCTGGGTGCTGAATGGGGAGCCAGGGAAGGATGGTCTCACATTCTGGGCACAGAGCTGAGAGCCTGACCTGAACATCAGCTGAATGTTTGCGGACTAATTTGTTCAAAGGCAGGTTGGATGGGGCTCTGAGCAACCTGGTCTAGTGGGAGGTGTCCCTGCCCATGCAGGGGGGCTGGGACTAGATGATCTTTAAGGTCCCTTCCAACCCAAACCATACTATGACTTTATGAATGGGGCTTTGCTTCTACAGGCAAAAATGGGACATGTCTTCTGTTGTGCCAGGGTCTGGGCCAGAGGAAGAGAATATAAATTCATCCTCCTAATCTCAGAAATTACAGATCACCCTCTTGACTCACCAGCTACAGAAGGAAAGTGAAGATTCTTTTAACCCCTTGCATACACAAGAGCACCAAGTACCACACAGCAGCATTGCACAGCTGGTGACCTGGTTGGCACCAAGGCTCCTAAGATGCTGTTTCTTGCTGGGAAAAGCCCTGGTGTCCCCCATGCCATGTCACTTGCGATGTCTGCGCCCAATGGCTCCTCCAGCCCATCAGCTGAGGTGAGGCACAGCCCACTGCTAATTGCGTCGTGGTTTTCCACATCCGCTTCCTACCTGCCCAGCGTGGGAGGGAGCTGTGACCTGGGGTGGAGCTGCTCACTAGCCCTTGGTTTCCAAATTTAGAAAAGGACTTAACAGGCCCAGCATGACTTGAGCTCCTCCTGCCTGAGAAACTTGGGTCCTCAGCTCACCTAACTCCTTAAAAAAGCACTGGCCTTCCTGGCTGTCAGCAAAAAGGAGCCAAGATTGAATCCACACTCCACCTGCCGGCTCCGAGTGCTTGGGTGTCTCAAGGAAATTCAACACAAAATGCCCAAAACTGGTCCCCAGCATGTTCAAAGTCCAGCCACGCTGCCTGTGGGAGGACAGGTAAATGCTGGATGAGAAGAGGCATTAATGGACATGCACAGAAATGGGCTGCTGAGAATGACTGGGGTCAGTCTGCCTCCTGCCGGGCACCAGCTACTGCTTCCCACTTGGCCTGGCCATAACCAGCACAGGGACCTAAATGAGCAGAATATCACCCATTTTCACTGGGGATGCTTTCTCTCTGCCAAGGGTGAGGGTACCAGGGCTACCAAAGAAGGAGGAGTGGTGCAGTGCTGAAGATGGGAAGGGCTGCAGAGCATGATCCCCGTTCGGGGCAGTGCAGGCAGCAGGACAACACTTGCCTTCCCTGGCCACATCAGATGGGGCTGCTGCCTGCCCTTCCCTCCTGGCCTTCACTAGGACTTTCCCAACAGCTCCCTGCAACCACCGTGACACAAATCCCAACATGGTGATGTGGTATGGAAGGCTTTGAAGATGAAGAGCCTGAGCTGTAACCAAGGACTAAACGCAGGCTTTGCTCAGAGCATTTACAGACTGTTCCTTGCCTGTGGAGGTGGAGGCTGCTCCACAGCCGAGGTGCATGGGTAGCTTCTGGGTGACATGAATGAAGCCAGGGTGACTGACCCTGAAACCTCTTTGGCTGAGTGGAGGGTGGCAGACAGCAAAGACCCCACCCTGGGAAGGAGGCTACTGCCCTAGCACTGACACTGCTCTAGGCAGAGGCTGGCCATAGGGCATGAAGCCCACCACCTGGCAGGAGGGATTCCTTGAACCCATGTGTCTCTGCAGGGTCAAACCAACCATCTGAAGGTCCAATCACACACTTAAAGCTCTGATTTGGGTGACAAAGCATTTGAGCAGAGGGTGTGTGGAACTGCAGACACACTCCATGGAGACCCCAGTGCTGGTGTCAGAGCAGTGGGAGATGTCACTCACTGGCATCCAGAAACCTGGAGTGTAGCAGGATCCTTATCACTGCACCAGGATGTCTCTTGGCCTGCTGGGACAGGGTCAGTCCCCAGCACCCACCCTGCATGCCTCTACCTGCCAGGCTGCTCCCAGCAGCCATAAAATCCCTAGGAGACCAGACACGACATGCAGAGATGTGATGCTGGGACCACTCCATCCCTGGAGAAGATGAAGAAGGATGTCACTACATCCTCTGCATGCAAGTACAAGTCCCTTCCTGATGGATCCTTTACCATTGCCACCCCTTCTGCTCACAGCCCATGGGCCTGGTTACAGCCACCTCTGCACTCTGCCCATCCAGCCCTGACCAACCCCATGCTGTGAGCCAGCCAGGGAGGTCCCCCATGCCCTCAGCTTGCTCAGGTGCTGTGTGGGGATGGCAGACAGACATGTCTGAGCTGCACTGCAACTCCCCTTATCCAGGCAGCCAGGCAAGCCAGGTCCCCACTCCCAAGCTTGCACTGCTGGCCTGGTGTCTCATGCAAAGGCACTCTCAGCTAAGGGGACTTCACTGAGTCTCCAGGACCAGTGAATGGTGCCACATTCTGAGAGGAGTGGCTGCTGACACCCAGGGTCTGCACAGGCCCTGGAGGAAGGGGAGCTCAAGACATCAGAGCTCCTGTTATAGACTGCTCTCTGTCTGCATCATCTCCCCCAGAGTGATCCATCCCTGGTGCAAGAAAGGGGATATTGCCCCCATTCTGGGGATGGACTCTGCCCTGGTCCTGGTGTCTGGTGGACGTTTCACACTAGGAAACCCCTGCCCTACTCTTCTGAAGGCTGGGGACAGGAATATAAATCACAGGCAGGTTTGGGTGTGAAGGAACCTTAAAGATCATCCAGATTCAACCCCCTGCATGGGCAGGGACACCTCCCACCAGCCCAGGCTGCTCCAAGCCCCATCCAACCTGCCCTTCACCCGCCGGGGGTGGGACAGCCACAGCTTCCCTGGGCAGCCTGGGCCAGGCTCTCCCCACCCTCACGCTAAGGAATTTCTTCCTAATGTCTAATCTAAATCTCCTCTCTTCAAGTTTTAATCCATTAGTCCTTTTCCTCTCACTCCATGCCCTTGTAAAAAGTCC